AAAAACACTATTTTTTTTTATTTATTATTAAAAATTTATTTTATTGAATAACAAATGAAAATTTTAAAGAAAAAATCATCTCACTCAACATTTTTACATTTCACGTACCCAATTTAGAATTAAAATTCAAACATTATTATATAGTTTACAATAAATGAATTATTTGTTCGCTAATATATATTTTTAACTTTCAATCAATTAATATTTTATTATTATTTTTATATCACATCAAAACGTAGCTCTTTTGAGAACGGGCCAAGTTGAGCTTTCATGGAGCTATATAAAAGTACAAGTTGGAGCTCAAATCAAAAAGGTTAACGAGTGTCACAGCCCAAGTCGACCAGCGCGCCATGAGCCTAGATGAGCTCGAGCTCTATTTCTTCACTAATAATGTTCAAGCCAAGCTAACCAAAAAACTGCCAACCAAATAATTAATATTAAGTTTGTGCCTACTCAACATGTGTGTGTAACATTCATGTGGATGTAACCTTTAGCTGGATATTTGTTATATGTTAATAAGTTCAAGGTTCCTAATGTGTGGTTGGGACATAACTAATAATTCCATGTCTGTCATCTTCCTTACCTTAATGCAAACACTGGGGCCATTTGCATGTTCATTTTTGTACCAGAAATTAAGTTCAAAGTGTTGGCAAGTGGTTACTGATAAGAGATTGAATAGCTGTAAAGAACTGATTGTGACTATGTTTTGGTGTCTCAACATCATCCTTTATTATTACTACCTTTGTTCTGCCCTTTATACAGGCACTTGTTGTATTTGAAAATGTTTGATATTATTGCAATGGGGTTGAACAGCAGTTGATGATTTCAGTTTCAGGGGATGAACATATGATAGGAGTTAGATATTCTTATCTAAATTTACATAAACTTAATGTATTGTCAGAGCAAGCAAATTGTTCATTCTGGTTTTTGATATACTCTAGTCTCAGCAACTTTGATTTCTTCTTACTAACTCTAAGGAGGAAAAAAAATTACAGCAAAAGGGAATTGTATTTAGTTATGATCATGAGATTTTAAGAATAGGGGAAGAGGTGAAGTCCCACATAAGTGAAACACAATAAGAGAGTGAGTCTAGGTGCAATTTACAGGTGAAGTGCACCATAAGAAAGTGAACTTATGTGTACCTTGGTGAGATTCCATCCAAAAATTATAGGAAGAGTACCTCACTAGACATATAATTGCTAGACCTATTTTTTCTATACAATCAATGTGGGACAACTCGCAAATGATATTCCAACAAGATTTCAATTCGAGAAGGGATAAGATGACCAAAAGCATGAGATAAACAAAACCAGGACAAGAAATCGCAATGTCAAGATTAAATTCCAGCAAAAAATCAAGAATATTTCTCTTGTACATTGACCTTTTATGTAAATTGTGTAGAACCCGATGTAGAAAGTAGGGCAACTGACATTAAAAATATTATTCATTTTCCTTTAACGAAAATATAATTCATTTGGGATTCGATGGATAAAAAATAGATTAGTGGTAGTTTCTTTTTTCGGAATGATAGAGTTTTATAAGCACGAACACATAATTACAATCTCGATAACAGCCAGTAAATGTCGAATCAAGCAGTTACATGGTTGAATCCAGTGAGAAGACAATCCCAAGAGGAGCCTATACACCATAAATGCACCCACGATAATACGAAACTCCCACTAATAAAGAATAACAACTCCCAGAAAGAGAATCAACACCCAAAACAAAACAAGAAATACACAATACACCCACAAGAACTAAACGCTAAAGAAAACAACTCCTTAATAGATAAAATAAAGCCCTCTCCGACAACCTGTCAAAGAGAGTATTTATGTAGTATGTACGTAAAATTACTTGAGCGTAGGAATATTAAAGCCAACACTTCACCTGGTCCTATTTCCCTATTTTGCATCATGTTTTTGTTTTGCTTTATGCAAGGCAAATATAAATGGATGCTGGACAATTCAATAAACATCACCATCCATGAAAGACAAACAAAAACCTCCAGTGACGACTTTCACTTACACAAACGAAAAAATGCCAACTAGTAACAAAAGTTCACATCCATATTTCACACACTTTCACATTCCCAAGTAATCAAAACCATAAGCATCCTATGAACAATCCCAAATCCTTTCTTCCATCATACATATAAATAATCCAGCTTCATCAAAAAACAAGGAAATAAGGAAAAAAATTCGAACTAAGTTTTAACATCAATCACAAAAGAATATGCTAGAAAAAATACGTTCCACCAGTAGACATCTCATTCAGAAGGCTCGGTCTTGGACCTGTAGAGAAGTTTTTTCTTCTTCGAAGTTTGGTTATCAAACGTGAGCACGACCTTACCAGCTTCACCGATTTTGAACGAGCAGGTTACAACTTGTTCGTCCGAGGGCCCGATTTTCCTTGGCTTCTGAATGATCCAAGTGTATCCTCCCTCTGCATTCGGCACAAACTCCGCTCCATAGCTAACATCCCATCCCACTACCCGCACCTCCCAAACCAGTGTGCCCGACTGAAAAATATATAAAAATTAATAAATTTTAATCGAGATTATTAAAGTATAGCCCGAACAAGGAAATTCGATTTTGTAAAGCTTCTAACCTCAGGTACAGGGAATTCGATTGTATGTTTGCTGGCCGGCTTGATAATCTCCTCAATTGCAGAGTCAGAAGTGGTGAATTCTTGGTCCTTGTTAAGGCCACCGTACTGAACGGGTACTTGCTCGGGCGCTATATATCTGGTCATACACAGTTCAAAATTGTAAGTTTTTTTTTTATGTAAAAATCAGTAACTAATAGGAATTACACTAATCGAGCACACTGACTTGAAGAGGGTCTCGGCAGTTTTGGTTGGACCCGCGAATACAAATTTGCTCTTAGTCCTCTGTGTCAAGAATGGACTTATCATCCTGTTGTAAGCCACATACCACCATGGCACATTGACAAACACCTATGCACACACACCCAAAATAACAGTCTTCAGAAGTAAAGAAACAGCAACATACAAGATATAACAACCAAAACGTAAAACCAAAAGAGATCATCAAAATACATCCATCAAATCATCGATTGGAAAAAAATCACCAAAAGATTCGATTTTTAAACCAGTAAGACGGCACCCAGTAAAATGTTCTATCATCTCATCGAGTATAAGAAAAGTAGCAAGATACAACTAGCATATAATCAAACAGACATAAACTCCAAAAGATAGGATTTTTAAACAAAGAATGTTCAGCTAGGTATATGCAGTTACAACATCCATATGGCACTCTAGAGAACTCCAAACCTCGGTTGAGAAAAGATTGAATTTTTAAACCAGGATAAAACTAGAAAGGTCATAAAAAGATGATTAATAGTCTAAGCAAATTGTAAAATTTAAGTCTTTTTTAATTTTAGCTATAGTATTACCTGTTTAGCAACAAATTCAGGGTAGTTGTCCTGGAGCAATTGGAGGGCCTGGTTGGTAGCTTGCCGGAGTTCTTTCTTGAACAACAGTAATCCAGGGGTGTTCTTCAGATCAGTGACCTGAACAAAAGTGCAAATGCCACCAGGTCCGAAGTCGAGATTCCTAATATTCTTCTCCAAGAACCCAATGTACCACCTCAAGAACTTGGCCCTCTTCTCCGCATCCGAAAATGTGTTGCTGTACAATTCCTTGTCCTGAAACTCGCCGAAGGCATTGTAACATACTGGGTGGCCCTCTTTATCAACTCCGTTCATGTACACGACTTTTTCGAGACCACTGTCCGCCCCGACACCTTCGTCTTTCAGCAGTTCATCAATCTTGAACTCCTTCCTCCATGAAACCACGCTCCTGAGCATGGCGAAAGCTTCCTTCACCTTGAAATCCCTAGCCCTCAGGAACTTGAGGAGGATGACGTCACTCCTCTCGTCGGCGAGGAGGGGAACTCCCCAGATGGAGACCTCCTCCGGCGGTGGTGGATCCGCCGCTCCTTCCTCCTCCGCCACCTCTTTGGGATTCTCCTCCTCAACCGGCGCGGCGGCGGCGGCCGAGGACTCCTCGCATGGCGGCGTCGGCGGCGTGGCAGGGGCGGCAGTGACTTCATGAACAATAGTTGCTTTGATTTTCTCGGCCGCTTCCACTTTTTCATCGGCCTTCTCGGCCGCCGCCGTTTCCGATGACGGTGGCTCTGCGGCCGGTGGTGGGGTTTCTTTCTCTTCAACCTTTTCCTCCGCCGCCGTGTCCTCCTTCGCCGGAACTTCTCCAGGCGCTTCACAAGTTTCGGTTTTTACCTCGGTTTTTGGCTCTTCTTCCTTCTTGTCGTCCGGATTCGCCTCTTCCTCCTCCTTCTTCTCCTCTTCCTCCTTGGCGGAAGCCGCCGCCTCTGGCAGTGGCGGCTGGGCGGTGAACTCGTGTTTATCGAGAGCCTCTCGAATCATCTTTTTGAACTCGTCGAGGGCCTTCTTTTCCGGGTCAATGAGGTCATCGACCTTGTTGCTTTCCTCCTTGAAGGAGACAGATCCGGCTATCTTTTTCTCCTCTCCCTCCGCCTCCGCCGGTTTCTCGGCCAGCTCCGGATCCGGCTCCGGCTGAGGCAGCGTGTCCTTCTCCAAAACGGCGGTTTCAGTCTTCTCCGGCGCCGGCACGTCGGAGACGGTGACCTCCTCAGCTGCAGGTGGGGTTTCAGGACTTGCCTTCTTGGCTTCGTCAGCCATGATTAACTAAATTAAAAAATATATATACTCTCACAAAGGGTTTTTTTTTTTCTTGGACACGATAATGAAGAAAAGAAATTCAAAAACCTTCTGGGGGGCGTGTATTTGTATAGGAGAGCAAGAGGTGTGAAGAAAATGGAGATTTTGGAGGGCTATAAATATGGGAAAATGGGTTGGAAGAGTAGATAGTGGATGGGTTGGCTATGTGCTGTGCTGTGTGGTGTTGTACCTTAAAAGACTGAAATTTGCCAGCTCGTTACAATTCTGACCCCACCTCTTTTTATTTCTCTTTTTTCTTTCCTTTTATTTTCTTTGAAACTTTGACTCAATTTCCAAGTTGATGACCGAACTCGACTCCGACCCGTTCAAACCGAACCTAGTAATTACATTTTAAAAATTCATAGATTATAATCTATATATATAATTGCTATTAAGTTTCATTAAATTTTATTCAGTCAGCAATTAATAATAATAGTAGTCCATTTAATACAAATATGGGTTCATTTAATAAAAATATGTTCCCCATTTAATAAAAATATGTAACTTTCAGTTACACGATTTATTTTGACATGTCTCATTTTAGATGGTGTACATTTTTGTAATGTATTTTTATGTCCTGAAATACAAAATATTTTTGTTTTTATTTTGATACTATATATATTTTGGTATTTTATAAATGTATATTTCAAAACTAATTAAAAATGACTACAAATATCTCTAATTTCTATTGCAGTCATACAATAATAAAAAAAAAATCGAATAATACAAAAATATATCAAATATTTACAAAAATCAAATCCCATGAAATATATCCCTCCTCCAAAATGGTCCTGATATATTTGTAAAGATTTTAATATTATATGCATAAATTTAACTTATGATACTCTATATTTAAAATTTAATATCATTATCTAACTTATAATTTTAATATTACATTAATATAAATAACTTATAATATTTTCTTTATATTTGTGCAAATGCACACGATCAATACTAATTTTTTTATGAATTCTGATAAATTAAAAAAGAAAATAATTTACATTTAAAATTCTGATCTCAAACTTTTAATATTACGATTTTCGTAATATATATTCTAAAATTTAAAATATATATTTTTTAAAAGATAACAATAATGAATTGTTTTTATGTAAATTCTCTACCATAAAGTTATATATTATTGTTCCTCATTTTACAAATATTTCCACATAAATATATATATACAAATAATATTAGGTCCGAAAAATTAAACACAATATTTTGAATAATTATTATTTCTAAAAAATGAATTTTGAAAAAATGAGTTGATCGAGTTCATGTAAGCTTGATTGTTAAACGGACAAGTTGCAAGAATTAGCCCTAATTCGGCTTCGAATCAACTTGTTGAGCCCTGCGTTAAAAACAATGTCATTTAGAATCAATTAAATTGTTTTATTGTAAATTATTTGATTTAGAATTGGATAAAATAAGTGTTTTAATACTATTTTTAGTAATATAGTTAAACGTAAAAGTAAATTTGGTAAAAAAAAAAGTATGTTGGTCTATTTGACGAGTCTTTTCATCTTGTGCATGACAAATATAGCTGTTAAATTAAACGAGTCATTCGTGAGTTTGATTCGGCTCGGCTCAGCTCATTTGATAAGTGAGCCGAGCTTCAGTTCATTTAAAGCTCATTTTGTTAACTAGCCGAGCTTATTTGCTCGATTTGATAAGGCTCGAAAAGATAGTTCTTATGTAATTTTCTATAATACGGCTCGCTAAAGCTCAATTTTGACTCATTAAAAGGCTCAACCTCGGCTTGTTAATTTTGATAAATGAGTCATACATGAGCTCGATTATAAGCTGTTAAGTTAACGGCTCGGCTCGTTAAGGGCTCGAGCTCGTCTTGGCTCGGTTACACGCCTTAATGACAATTAGGGACGTAAATCAGTCGAGTCGAGCCAGTAATCGAAGTCGACTTGTTTATTGACATTAACGAATCGAACGCGAACATTACCAAATCGAACTATATAATATTATATAAAAGTTCCTCATTTCGAGCATTAATGATCTAAGTTCACGGATGACTCATTTGGTTATGGATGACTCATTTGGATTGGCCACTATAATACAAGGACAATGTTTTCCTATAAGGAGTGGAATTAATTGCAAAGAATGTTAAATAGTAAAATTGTCAACTTTTTTATAATTGAGGAATCCGGAGTGCGGTCCCACAAAGGTTAAAGGCACCATAGGAGGGTGAATCTAGGTGCACCATAATGAGATTTTCATCCCAAAATAGGGATATCAATAAAACCCGTAAGGTCGGGTTACCCGCAATTTCGGGTCAGAAAAACCCGAGATGATTGGGTTTCGGGTCGGGTTCGGGTATAATTATGCTACCCGAACCCCGGGTCGAGTCGGGTCGGGTGCGAGTATAGTAGAAAAACTCATTACTCGACCCGATTACCCTACCCGTTTACCCGCAACCATTGAATCCTATATATATATATATGGGGATTGGTTCCAATGAGAACACATTCTTAAAATGAGGACATGAGACTCAATCTTAGCCACTAAAAGGGTATCAAGATGTGTGGCCAAGATTTAACTCTTTATTTACATAATAATTTTTTATTTTAATTATTTTAGTTATTTAAATATTCTTTTGACCATTGACCATTGACCATTGACTTTGGCGTTGACCGTTGACTCCGTCGTTGATCCGTTGACCATAATATGTATTGTGTATGAAGTAAATATGGTGAGGCAAAGTCAGTGTAAATATGTTGCAAAGTTATTGAAATAAAACAGATGCATAATTAGTGATAAAGTGTTGCACAGTTAGTGTCAAAATATTGCATGGTTATTGAAACAATGATGCAAAAAGATGTTGCATAGTTAGTGATAAAAAGTGTTGCAATGTTAGTGTAAAAATGATGCATAGTTAGTGATAAAGTGTTGCATAGTTAGTGTAGAATACTTTGGGAAGGTTCTTAAGAAGTGCCAACCTAAGCCCATCTCTTAGAATGCTCCTACTAAAGCACCGGTGGTAGTGGAGAAGGAATCGGAGAGCAAGACGGGTAAGCAGATTGAAGAGCAGCCATTGCAGGAGAAAGAAGAATATTAGTGTAAAAATGATGCATAGTTAGTGATAAAGTGTTGCATAGTTAGTGTAAAAATTTTGCATGGTTACTGAAACAATGATGTAAAAAATATGTTGCATAGTTAGCGATAAAGTGTTGCAAAGTTAGTGTAAAAATGATGCATAGTTAGTGATAAAGTGTTGCACAGTTAGTGTAACGATGTTGTATAGTTAAAGAAAAAGTGATGCAAAATTAGTGTAAATATGTTCCAAAGTTATTGAAACAAAACAGATGCATAATTAGTGATATAGTGTTGCACAGTTAGTGTCAAAATATTGCATTGTTATTGAAACAATGATGCAAAAAGATGTTGCATAGTTAGTGATAAAAAGTGTTGCAATGTTAGTGTAAGAATGATGCATAGTTAGTGATAAAGTGTTGCATAGTTAGTGTAAAATGTTGCATGGTTATTGAAATTTGAAACAATGATGTAAAAAAATATGTTGCATAGTTAGCGATAAAGTGTTGCAAAATTAGTGTAAAAATGATGCATAATTAGTGATAAAGTGTTGCACAGTTAGTGTAACGATATTGCATGGTTATTGAAACAACGATGTAAAAAATATGTTGCATAATTAGTGATAAAGTGTCGCACAGTTAGTGTAAAATGTTGCATGGCTATTGAAACAATGATGCAAAAACATTGTACACGAGAGACATATTTATTGTAACAAACCAGATACATATTTATTTCAACACGGGTGCATAAGTATTCCAATTACTTAATCTGAGCCATTGATCAACCCAAAGTCAATGGTTAAGAGGTGTCCTCATTTTAAGAGTTGTCATCATTTGATCTGCCATATATATATATATATATTATAACTTATTATAAATATTAAATTAGTCATGTGTTATTATTAAAAATTAGATTATCTATTATAATTTTGATTAATGGTTAAATTCTATTTTATTTTTTATGATTTTATTATCATTTTTTGTTAATTGTACAATAAAAAAATTACACACTTAATTTTTAAATGTTATATTATTAAATAGACTATAAAAGATAAACAATTATAACTCATTATTTATTCCAAAATTAATATAATTTTTTATATTTCTTATTGTCAAACTTAGTTAATAAATTATTTATTACATTATAATTAATTGTGAAATAAATTTATTTTATTTTATCATATGAAACGAGATGGGTCGGGTAAAGCCCAAATTAAAGACTGGGGTTACTCGGTTACCCGACGAAAACCCACTAACCAGTTGGGTAAAACCCAACCCAAACCTGAAGATCATTAGCCGGGTAGCGGGTCGGGTTCGGGTTTGCCAAAACCCGTACCCGACCCGACCCACTTACATCTCTATCCCAAAATCAATTGGTGATGGGACGAGTAGCCTACTAGGCTTATAAACTAGGTTTATTTACCCTATCAAATCAATGTGGGACGACTCACAAGTGATATTCCAACACGCCCCACTCACTTGTGAATCTTTCATTAGCCTAAAGCTACAACCAGGCCGGGTACATTTAATCATCATAAGCCCAAGCCTACAACCAGGCCAAGTACGTTCATAAGCCGAAGCGTATCATTAACCCAACCTACAACCAAGTCGGGTACCTTCATAAGTCCAAATCTACAACCACACCGAGTACATTTTAAATCATTGCAGGTCTCAAATTAGGTCTGCACTGATACCATGTCAAATTTTGATAATCGGGGAATCAGGGGCGCAATCCCACACAGGTGAAGCGTTGAGTCTAGGTGCACCATAGTGAGTGAGGTTTCATCTCAAAACCCAATTGGTGATGGGAAAAGTAACACACTAGACTTATAAACTAAGTTCATTTACCTTATTAAATCAATGTGAGACGACTCACAAGTGATATTCTAATAAAAATTTACAAAAATAATTGATCACTACAACTTCTAACATTATATTTACCCTCTACTCACAGGATTCATGATTTCCAAATGTACATGCATTATATTATTTGGAATTAAATTGATTTCACTATGAGTTTGTGAAATTCGGCGGTCGACCCCATTACAGGTTGGCAGATTTTATTCCCACCATTAAATCTTTTTTTCCAGCAAAGGAAAACATGGCAACATGTTGTCATGCCCCCATAAATTAAAATAAAATAAAATAAATAGACATTCTTTAAAGTAGA